TCAGCTCCTTCCATCCAAAAGACAAAGCCAGAAAAGTGATTCATGCAGAAACAGGGGTGCTTTATTCTGGGACAGATAATTCTTACTCTGACACACCCTAAAAGCAACTATGTCCCATATAAAAGTGTGCCTCAGCTCTTGGAAGTCCAAGAATGATTACTGCACAGCCTCAAATGAAAAACAAGCTGTGTTGAAGATATTTATTTATTTATTTAGGAAGCTTTAGGAAGATAAGGGAGACCACATTTCCTCCTGACCAACTGGTTGCTTATCTTCATAGAAACCTACTTCAAACATGAAAACTTCGAACTTAGATGTTGTCACAGTTGTAAATCGGGGTGGAGCACCTACCCTGGCAAGAGTGCTGAGCTGGCTCTGGGCAAGCGTGTTGAAGTTGAGGCACCAGCTGAAACGTGATGCTGACTTTGCTCTTGACCTGTTTTCTTGACTGGGGTAATCAGTGATGGGTGAGCAGATTCAACCAGTGCCTTGAGGAGCTATGCTCCCTGAGTCACTGGCTAAGTGGTATGCTGGCTTCCATCTTTCCTCTCTTTCCCTGATTCTGAAAGACAAGGCAGAAATTAAGCTGACTGAGCAGTCCTTGAATCTGCAGCTCAGTTGCTCTCCCTCCCACATCTCTGAACGGATGGGGCTTTGGGGATGGAGGGCCCTTTCAGAGGCCCCAAGGGCCAGGTGAGGTGGCCTGGTGGACCAGACTTGTAAACAAACCCATGATGAGTTCCAAATCTGGGCACTAATCTATATTGGATTTGTCATATTTGTTGTACCCATCCTACTTCAAATGAGAAAAGGGCAGCATGCTCTCTGCTCATATCCCACCCTACTATCAAAACAGCCTTGTGACATAGGTCAGGCTGAGGTGTTGACTTTTCCATAGTCATTTTGATGAAATTACAAAATGCTACACTGAACTGTAATTTCAGATAGTTTATCTGTTTACAGTCTTTCTATGCCACCTTTCTGAGACCAATCACAACAAAAAGGCATGTCCATTCAGTCTTTAAGGTCCTGGTTAGGGTAGGAAATAAATGTGAAAAAGCAGGCAAAATAATGAATATTTAAAAAGCAAAATGAGGAGAGTCTGTATGAATACAGAAGGCCCATTTGCCTTTGAAAAAAAGGTTACACAAAAAAAAAGTTTACAGAAAAAGTCTTTGTAAAGTGTTAAATAAAACACACTGTTTACAGGCCCTGCAGAAAAAAAAATAAGTGAGAGAATTACTTGCCTGCAGCAGAAGTGATTGGACAGAAGCATGGCAAATGTAGAAAACAATGCAAGGTCTGCAGGCATGGACAAGTCCTTTGGGCTGATGAAGACTTTAATTTTTTGCATTACTGCAGGCTGTTCGTACACCAGTGAGCCACCCCACATCATCTGGGAATTACTGTGGCAATGGCACTTCTAGGGGACTCAGCACTACAGCAAATGGCCCTCACTTATTCGATATGCCAGGCCAGTCAGGCTGAAGGTGGGAGCAAATGATGTGGGCTGAATGTTTCCATCCATCCGTCCTTCCTTCCAGTAATAAAATTCAAAGAATGTTTCTTAACTGTACCTGATTTCTTCTAAGTTTTATTTCCAACCATACTCATATCAGCAATTTTGTTATACTGATGCGACCTCTAGTGGCTAACACTATCAGAACCCTCTCACAATATTTTGGTGCTTAAAGAAGAGGGAGTTGGTGGGTGCAGAAAAGATTACATACCCACCAATTCTTCCGTACAACTTTTGCAAACATGGGATTCGGGGCACACGTTTACTAGAGTAGGTTAGTCTTCTCTACAAATGGATACAAATCAAACCATGAAATGGCAACAATCAGAGACCAGGGCAAGAACTTTAAAAACTCTCAGGGCACTCTGAAGCTACTTTGAAAGCTGCCATTTTCCAACCAAAAAAATTCAAATGGAGACTCTGGTATGAAATTGAATTAGAACTTGCAAGGAAGTTTTATTCTGTTGGTTTAGCCTTGCATGGAGACAGTAGTTTTCTGACTCATTACAAGTGTTAATTATCATAGCAGCACTAACATAATGGTTTTATTACCAACTATTTTGGTTGTGAGTGGTCACCTTGCTTATGGTAGGTGTAAATTATACATTAAAATAAACATGTAGAGTGTTTAAATAGTCCTAATTTGAAAATCTGATCTGGAACATGCTTCCAAACCAGAACCATCCAACCACTGAAAATGACTTCTTGCTAAAAATCAGGCCAAATAACAGATAAAGAGGGGTTTTATAAAGAGCAGAAAATCAACAATGACTATTCTCTCACATTTTTAAATGTAAACTCTAGCAGTTACTCAGATCTGTGCAACTAGCAGGATCTGATTGCACAGTTTGCCTGACGTAACTGTATTTTGTATATTCTTAAACTATGCCATATTATGGAATTCAACAGGAATTACCATCAAGAGTTTGTGCCATTGCTTAAATCCTCTTGAAAACTGTGAGACTTTGACATGGATTTTATGGATTTTAACTTTTTATGGATTGGGCCATAAGGTTTTTTTTTTTTTACTTTAATTGCATTAGGGTGTAATGCTGTGCATGTTTAGGCAGAAGTCCTTTAACTTCCAACATTAGATGTTGGTTAGGGACCTTTTTACTGTCTAAATAGGTATAAGATTGCACCTTAAAGCTAATAAGAGAATGCATTTAGTTATATCTCACATCCATTTTGCCTGTAAGACATGTTCAGTTGCACAGCACCCTATTTTTCCTATAACTGATTTGTATTTCTACCTTTAAACAGAAACAAAACTGCCTTTATGTAGGAATGGAAATTCAGTTTGCTAAGATTAAAGACAGGAAGCACTAAAATGTCTGTAAGGCATCACTCCCTGGTGGCTTTTCCACAAACAGGCTTTGTCAGACCCAAGGATGAATGGCTTATTCGAAAGAGGACAATTAACATCCTTGAACATTTTCACACACAGATAAGAGTTGGAACTCAATACATGGTAACCTTCAAGATAGTGCTGTAAAACTACAGTGTGTAGCATACTTATCAGGAATGACATTTCTACCTGTTTTCAACAGACAATGTGTTTAAATAAGAAATGAAACTTTCATGGACAAGGGCTAAAGATTCTCAGGACTCTGGAAATTCCATAACAGTTCTTTTCTACAGGGTGTTCATTATCAGTGAGTGCCATAATTAAGCAGCCAATTATTCCATGACCTTTAGAAAATAATTGTTTCCAATGAACACTGTGTTCCAGCAGACAGAGTGAAATGAGACAGAATACAAGGAATAATGGACAGGATCTCCCAGCTTTCCTTTTTTTCCCCTTAATAATGTCCATGACCTACTCCTCAGTGCAGTTGCCACAACTGGGTGTGCCTGATCCACACAAGCATTTTTGAAAAAAAGTATTCTTACTAGCAGAAGGTTCCAAACACTCTTTGAAGGCAGCCCCACATAGACAACATATTTCTCATGTAACACTGGGCTACATACAAACTAAAAATTGCACCCTAGCATCTTTTCGGTTATTTCAAGGATTGTGATGTACAAGTTCCAGCTCACACACTGCTTCATGAGTGTGTCAGAGAAGCTGAGAGTAATGTCACCAGGAGGCCAGATTGTCTCTCCTAGCAGGGTGACCCATGACCACCCTATAGATATTGGCATTTTCTGGAGACTATTTGGGTTGCTTTCAGAGTTAGGTAAACTCATTTCTAGGTTGTGAGGCAATGACATGAGTTACATATGGATGGGCAGGAGAGGCAACTAGTCTTGTGTGCTACTTGTGTGGAGCAAGGCTACCTTTAGTGTGCCAGGATTGCATACAATAAGCATGAAAATCAGCTATTTTGTCATAATGATATTTGGGAAAACTTGGGGAAGGAGAGTTGCGTAGGGCTCATTTATGCCATTCCTATGCAAACTTTCAGCCAAATAGTCTTGCAGCATGAGACAATATCATTCCTAGGCATGTAAATGGAACATCCTGATCTTTTCAGGCCTTCTCCTATGTAGCCACTGGTACATGAAATTAATGGCACTAGCACAATATTCAGGAGGTATTGACTTTCAGTATTACATTTGTGAGATACAAACCTCGCTGAGACGGAATCTGAGTAAATGCAAGCAAAGTTTATTGAAGTGTTTGCAAAAGCTGGCTCAGAGTCCCCATTTGTACAAGGAACAAAGAGCAATTTCTGCATGCTATACATAGGTTTATATACATTCCTTTTCCTGACGCTCAACACTACCCCCGCTTCACCATTGGCTGGTTACTATGGGGTGAACAGTCTGCTCGTGACACCTATTCTTGGAATATTTGCAATACCTCTAATTTCCCCACCTTTCTGCCTCTTTTGCTTCAGTCGGGGACCTTATTTTTCTAAGTGGTACGTGTTAATCCTTTTCTTAGAAAATGGTTCCTCTATAAAATAGCTCTGCTTAGGCCCTTATTTTTATCTTTTTAAAAAGATACAATTCTTTTACTCTGTTTCTCACATATTGCATTTATATCCCGCCTTTTTCCTCCAGATGTGGAATCCAAGACTTAATCCTTACAACGCTAGCCTTGCATGGTAGGCCGGGTTAAGAATGAGTGACTTGACCCAACATCACCCAGCGTGCTAGAACCCGGGCCTCCCAGGTCCCCAAGCCACCACTCTAACCACCACACCGACTCTCGCATTTGCAACTCCTGGCCTATGAGACAAACCAGTCTACCCAAAGCAGCCCCTCGCCCGCTTCGCGCCAAAGCGACCACGTGTCCAGCACTGCGCTCCGCCCCTCCCTTCGCCGACGATCGCTTCTTTTTCTTCCCGCCGCTCCTGACCACGGAGGGGCGGGGGTCTGGGAGATCACGTGGGCGGGCCGGGCGTTGCGGGCGGGCCGGCCGGCGCGAGAGGCGCGCGCAGCGGGGGCGGGGGTCTTCGCCCGCGTGCACTATATAAGCGGAGCAGCGCAGCAGGAGGAGGAGGAGGGGGGGGTCTCCTTTTCTGCTGGGGCGGGATGGAGCTGCCGTTCCCGCTGCTGTGGACGATGGCAGGTACTGCCCCCTCGTCCTCCTGTTTCGGCCCCCGCAATCGCCCGCCCGCCTGCCTCGGCACGGAGCTCAGGGATGGCTGCGTTGCCACGGCAACCGGGAGAGGGTTGCCCTCTTGTCCAGCCTGCCCCCGTTGCTCCGCCTGCCCAGGGCAGCCCGCTCCGTGCCCGCGGCGTGTCTCCGCCAGCTGCTGCCAGAGGCGCGGAGGAGCAGATCGAGGTGGTGGTGCTTTTGTTTCTCGTCGGCTGGCAACCCCAGACACACGCTGGTCAGGAGGAGACGTGCGGGAGGACCCCCGCCCTTTCTTCCTGTCTGCGCTGGGCAAAACCTCACAGCGACTGCAACCCCTTTGCTTGAAGTCAGAGAAGAAATCCAGGATAGACACCTCCGCTTTCATAAGCGAGGCAGATTTAATTGATGTAAGGAGCAATAGCATAGCAGTGAAGAGAATTGGGCATGGCCCTAGTAACCTGTGACCCTTTTCTTTTTCCTCTTGCCCTAGGACTCATGTTGATGCCTCCCCCTGGGGAAAGTACCGCCCAGGTGAGTTCATGGAGCTGCTGAGGGGAGCTCAGAATTGCCAGTGAAAGTTCTGGATTCCCTGCCCCTTTTTGCCCTGTTTGGGCAAAAAGTTCAACTGCAGAAAGAAAGAAAGATAACTAAATAAATCAATATAGACACTTCAGTTTTCATGAGTGATTTCAGCTTAATCCATGTAATGGGGCAAGAGAGGTTGATTTAGGAATTAAATAAAGGGCGTTTTTTGAATGCTTAATATTTCTAGGTTATGGAAGGATGTATGGGTGTGCAGGAGGGGGAGTCCATGAAAGACTTAAGCCTTTGCATTTTATTAGAAGTTAAGCCTTTCCTGTTAATAGCCTAGTTGAAATCAAATCCATAATTGCCTAATATGATGGTAGCTGTTCTATGCAAAATCTCACACAAAACCTTTTCATTTAGTATTTCTCAATTTCTCAATTTCATTTAGTATTTTAAACATCAGGTCATGTATTTAGTGTCTGTGCTTAATAGCATATTTGCTCTACTGAAACAGAACACTGCAGCCAGATGACTGAGTAGGTTTGCTTCCTCTAATTTCATCTACTTTAACACCAATGTACTTGACATAAATAGTTGTATTTTAAAACTGAATAATTTCATAACTGTAAAGGGAAAATTTATTTCTGAGACAGATTTCGTTTTTTACTGAAACTAAACAGCAAAGCACATTAAATGTGCAGGTAGTGTAAACAAATTTTGAATGTATTTTTCCTCATGCTTTCAATTTTCCCTATTTTTTGATTTTGTAATTTTTTACTTCAAGTTTTATAAATTTGTAAAATAAAGAATATTATGAAACTCAAGGGTGCAGCATCAATCAAGCTGAAAAGTTCTAAGCTTATTTTATTGTGAAATGTTGATCATACAGCCTTGCTCTACAGAGCCCTTAAGGCAATGCCTATATTAAATAATAAAACACTAAGCAATAAGAGATGTACAAATGAAGCAGCTAATCATTTTAGTTATAAACTAAACTACAGAAATGAAATAACTGCTTAAGGTTGAAATATGTACATTTTGATTATTTATTCTGTAAACTTAAGATTATATGCAGGTAAACTAACAGTGGAATATTATTGTCATGGGATCTACTTTTAAACTTTATTCTGAATACATACAGATATTTTTACAGTAGCCCAGAAGCAGGGTCTTACACTCTGTTGGGCAATTTTAATAAATGTTTATAGGTTCTTTTCTCTTTGAAGTTCCTTTGTTGCCACAAATCACATATATGCTGGGTGTCATATATAGTTTGTGGGCCAGTATCTTTGGTAGACTTACAGTGCAGCCTCATACACATCTACTCAAGTAACTCCCACTGAAGTAGTTGTAAAATTGCAGCCTTATTTGCAAAATACTGCTTTTCTGGAATTTTTTTCATATATTTGTATGGTATATGTGAACACTTGATGGATAATTAAAATGCAGGTCTGTAGTGATAAAGTCCCAAATTCGACAGATGTGCACCATCCAATAACCAAGGTCATCTCATAAACTTCATGCCTGAATGGAACTTTCCAGCTGAGTTTTACCCAGCTGAGTCCAACATGATGACCCTTATTGATTATCCAGGATGTCTACAACTATTTCACAATACCTGACTGGCATTTTGAGAATGTTTATGCAACCATGCAATTATATTGCTACATATTCAGCATGGTGATCAGCTGTGGTCATTACCCTGTTATATGTCTAAGTTGAGAAAAGATATATATGGACTGAGGTGCAACTTCGCTGTGGGTCCACCTCTGCACAATTTCACTCATCTTGCATTTCCAGCACGCCACTTTGGTTACATGAACAGGTATTTATTTATGAAAAGTGGAAAGTTTTTAATGCTGTGAAGCTTAAAAGAAATGTCAGTAATACAATTTTTAGTAAATGTCAGTTAATCTATTCATTCCCAGCCCAGATGTGACTTGTATTCTCTACCTGGATGTCCAAGGAACTTTAATCCAGTTTGTGGGACTGATGGAGAAACCTATGCAAATGAGTGTATGCTTTGTATGTCGAACAGGTAACTTAACCTTAATTGATCTTATCCTTCTCTAAGGTAGAGTTAGCTTTACAAATAGTCAGCTAGGGATTTAGGTTAATTTAATTTTCAAAGCTCTCAGCAAAAAGTTCCTTTCATACTTGATTTACTGAGCAAGTTGCCCTAGAGCAGTATCCTCTGTTCAGCATTACCTAGTCCAGGATTTTTCTGAGAAGTTTAGGAAAAGCTTCAGAAAATTATGATACAATAGTTAAAAGGAACCAAATGCACAATCCAGTTCAATCCCCAACTTCAAGGCAATGAAATTAATCCATCAGCAATGCCCAGTTCAAAGTATGAAGTTCAGATTACAGTGCTGCAGAAATTGAGCAGACAGGCTACTAAAGGGTTTCTGGTGGCTTGTGCAGAAAGTTTTGCAGAAGTAAGCCAAAGTGTGCACTGTTGGTGGAATGAAAAACACAGCCATCAGTTTATTGGTCTTCATAAAAACAATTCCATGCAAAAATAAACCAAGTGCCACCAAATCTAACTTTTAGGGCCACAAGTTGCACAATCAAGGTAGGGACTTCTGAATACTTGAACTGGCCCTTCTCCAAGAGTTCTGAGATCCCCAACCTCTTAGTTTTCTTTTCCAAATATGAAAGCCATGTGCAATCAGCTACTGATTTGTTTGTTTAGTTAGTCCCTTTTCCAAAAGAAATTGTATTCAATAAACTTTACCTCCATGCCACTGAACCCTTGGCCTCTAGCTTCAACAGACATCCTGGTCTAGGCCCAACAGATACAGAGATTAATTTTAATACATGACAGCAAGTGCGATATCCATAGAAGCACTCACCTCCACTGTACATTATAGCAGGGTGTCAAACCTCTTTCCACTGAAGGACTGGATTCCACTTAGGTGAAATTCTTGGAACTCATATTCCAGTGGTGGGTGGGGTGAATACACCCACAAAGAGTAACTAAGTACACACACAGCCTCCATTTCAGTTCAGTTCTTTTTTAATTCAAATTTTCCCAGTTCAAAACCATGGATACTAATAGGAGCAAACTTTTTGAAGAAAACTTGTACATTCCTAAACTTTGTTCTTCAAAACATATTCTTCAGAAAACTTTGGGTTTTTAAAAAAGAAATGATATATTTCATGCTTCAGTCTATGAGGAAAAGTGTGTTTTTGGCTGAACATTTTCAGAAACGGCATACCAAAATGCACATTTCCCCATTCAAATGAAAAGAAAACTAGATCACAAAATGAGTGCAAGTTGGTTCACACTTAAAAGTGGAGTTCAAATAATTTCAGTGAATTCAAAATCACAGATTCTCCCATCCCTACAGGTAACTAAGGTATAAAATAGAGGTGTATACCTTTTAGAAAGAGGAAAAACAGCTCGTCCAAGTTGTTTACTAATGGGAGAAGGGATGAGGCCCACCAGGGCTCACTGCCTAGCAATCTCCAACTTTGTAAGCCAGTTTCAGTTCCTTCCTAAGATTCTGGGCAGCTCCCAGGGAGGAAGATTGAAACTCACCAATCAATATCATGGTCATGCATCCTCTGAGTAGTTTCTACACTGGCTAACCAGCACAATACTGAGTTAGTCTGAAATGTGTGTACAAATACAGATTTGGGACTATATTGTAACTGGGCTTGGTATATTGTTAATAGATACCTGCAGGAAAAGGAAATAGGAAAAACCTTGTTGCAAGAATCAATATTGCATGCCTTTAACATCAGTATAATAACTTGTTGAAATCTGAAGAAATATATTCACGGATAGGAAGATTCACTAGACTGGCATGCTTGCAAAAGTCTGTTCCATTTTGAGAGACTCTGGCTACCTTCATACATTGGAAGCAGTAGCCATGCTTTTTGTTCTCTCTGTGTGGACCAACAAACAGTCATTTGGTGTGTGTGTGTGTGTGTCTCCCTCCGCTCTCTTATGTGCCCCCTCTCCTTACAGCCAGATTTCACGAAATCTGACTTCTGGGAAATAGCATGATTTCTCTGATGCAGTTTTCCTCAGTATTAGTCAGGTCTCACTCTCTTAAAGAGGCATAATTTTTATCTGAGGAGTGATGGATCAAATGGGTGAGACAATACCCACACATCTACATTGGTATGTGTTCACCATTCCTTTTCTATCTGATTCCTTCCTATCTGTTTAATTTTTTAAAAAATATTTTAACATTTACATGTCTTTTTCACCTCTTTTTTCAAATTGGATATTAATGCAGTACAACTCAGAATGGCTTCAGTGTAACTTTTAAAATCACCTTTGGAAGCTGGGTTGCTTTTCCAGTCAGGGACAGCCATGCCACTTGTGCAAGAGACCTCCTTGTTTTCCTTCCTAGTGCAGCCCCCTGTGCATGCCTAAGATTGGCTATGGAGGGTCTTCCAGCCCTCTAGAGCAGATTGGGGGGTTGCTGCAAGAGGAACTTCATTCTATCAGCTGCTTCGAGTCTGTTAATACTATGTTATTTTTTTCTGTGTGCCAGTTGCTTAATTAGCTGCAAAACAATTTTGAGTGTACCTTTTAAAAATGAAGTGATTGTGCAGTGTAACTTAAAATGCTTTAAGCACAAATGAAAATCTGTTTAAAACATGGTTTAAAAAAAATGAAATGCTCAGAATTGTTCCTGTCTTGCCCATGTGGCTAAGTTATCTTATCCCTAGTACTGGGGATGGAATATAGCAGAATCTGTACACAAAAAGGTGCTGTTTATCCCTCTCCCTGACTTGACCAAGTGTAGAAAGGCAATTTCAATTCTACATGTAGCTTGTAGTAGAACAGCAATCAATCAACACTGGAATGCCTCCAGCATGGGAGAGCTCATGACCTCCTGAGTAATTGCTTCCATTATCATTCCAATGATTGACAGTTCTTGGCAGTAGCCAGTCTATAAGCACCCAGTACATCTAATGCCCCTCTTATTTTCATTTTCTTACAGAGAATACAACAAGGAAATACAAATTGCTTATAAGGCTTCATGTTCATGAGATTAGCTTCCAAGAGGAGAACACATGTAACCGGCATAGAAGTTGAAATCTGCCTTCCATGCTGCCAAAATTAGAGCTAGCCCATTTGTCCTTATCCAACTTGTGAATTTGCTTATTACAGGTGTTTGATTGAAAGCATGGGTGCATGGCTTAATCTTATTTACTAGTGAAATAATACTGGCTGCCAGAACTGGCCTTTGATGAAAGCAAGCCACCCCTCCCAGTGACCCATGACCCCCCCCCCCCCGTTTTCGGTGCTCCGGATTTACACTACTGAGATCTTTCTTTGATTATAATTTCTCCCCTGGTCCTTCACAACTGCACGGATTAGTCAGTGGGCATCCCTCCTATCAGGTAGCCATCAGTGCATTTGTGAAAGACTGATTAAAAAATAATAAACCAGATGGCTGTGTTGTCTGAATGGCTTGTGCATGGTTAACCAACAAATCATGCCACTGGATTCAGATGACACAACAAGCCACCATGGCTTATTGTGTTGAGTCAGTCCAGTCAGTGTGGATGGGGTCCAGATGATACTTAAGGTTGCCTGAGGGGGCCAGCTAAACCTGGCTAATAATTGGGCACTGTGGGTTCCTCAGGCACTGCCTCCCCTCTTCTCACCAGTCTCTGTGCCAGTATCCCAGGTGCTCCACAGGAGTGCTGAGGGGAGCAGAGATGACAGCAACCAGTGCTTTCACTATCTGCCATGTGTTTTCCTACTCTTTGCTCCTGCTGCCGCTGGCAGAGAGGGTGCCCTTGTGAGCATTCCTGCTCTCCCAGCACTGGCGGGGGTGCCAAGTGGGGAAGCCAGAATGGAGGAACATGAGCCAGCCTTTTCCTGGTGTTCATTCATGGTGTCAGTGTAGCAGAGGAAGGACAGGCACGTTGGTGGCGGAGATCCCCAGTGCTGCGTCTTGCGTGGGCACAGGAGGCATGTGGCCTCCAGGAGCCAAGGCTGATGTGCATCAAGGGCACAGAGCATCGGCTTGTGCCCTTACAGAGCAACCTGTGCATGTGTGGTCCCACCAAGTGCAGTGGGCTTACTCAAACGGAGTGGATCTTTAACATGTATAGTCCTCATTGCATCCTAAGCTGGTGAACTTGCCTCACAGTTCATCTCAGTGACGCTGCTTAATATTTTAAGAAGTTACTTTTAGCAACAAATATTGGTGGTGAAAAAATACTGCCCAAAGTACTCAATGGAATGAGCAGCTTCACAAGTTCAGCATTACGTATTAGTTTATTGCAGTTTTAATTCGCTTGGTCACAAGAGGGCACCCAATCCTTTTAGAAATAAAGCAGGAAGAACAGTTAATGCTGCAGTACAAACAAAAGAAGCAAGACCCAGCACATGAATACACACAGCAGAGTCTCCCTTTGAGGGGAAACAAACAGACCTGAATTCTTACGCTGACTTCAGGAGCCATCTTTAGTGCATTTAGACAATCTTAACCTGGTGCTGAAAACTCTGAATTCTCAGCGAACACATTCCGACTTTTCTTTCTACCAGGTTCCAGATGTGAGGGGCTGAGAAGGCCTGATGAGGAAACACAGGGCCCCTGAGCTCTTCCATTCAAAATCAGCGCCTCCTGAAATTGGTTTTCTTTTAAAAAGAAAAATCCTTGGGACACTGTGACCCAACTTTGTGTGTAATTTGTAGCTTGCCCCCTACTACACAAGTGAAGATGCTGGTATTGTGAACTGCTGTCATGGAAAGGCGCCATGTATGAGCTTGTACAAGGTGATAGCCAAACTTCTATTTGTAGCACTTGCTCTATGTTTTGTTCTTACATGCCACTGTTTTCGAGCAATGAATATGCATTTGGGAAGTGGCTCTTGGCACTCCAGATCAGATAATGCATTTTCAAGCATGGGAATGATTTTCTTGCTTGCAAAACCATCATGTGGCAGAAAGCCACACCTTCACTAGCTTTCCCTCCAGTGGTCACAAACCTTCTCCTTTGCACACAGCTGACTCATCCTAGGTTCTGAATTGCTGGAATGCAGCTGCGCATGTAACTCCACAGCAGTGTATCTACTTTTGTGTGCAACTCTGTAAGCCTTGTGTGTATAACCACACTGCATATTTGTTACCCTTCAAACACGTCAGGGCAGCTTACAACAAAATTCTTTAAACCCTGAAAAATAGCAAAGACAAAAAAAGTGAAATGCAGAGCATCTCTAAAACCAGCATAAAGACAATTTAAACATAATTCAAGGATAAAAGTTTTAAACATTTTCAGCTTGGGAAAATATAAAAGGCGTTTCCCTGGCACTGAGAGGATGGTCATTGTGAGCCTCTGTAAGGAAAGCATTCTGAAACCAGGGCTCCACCATTTTTGCAATACACTTTTTCTTCCCTTCCTTTATTACATTGCATTTATATCCCACCTTTCTTCCTCTTGCATCTTCCATTTTATCTTCACAACAACCCCATGAGGTAGGCTAGGCTGAGAGTGAGTGACGGGCCCAAAGTCACCCAGTGTGTTTCAGGGCTGGGTGGGGGCTGATATGCAGGTATCCTGGATTCCCAAGTCCAGCACAACTGTTGCACCACACTGGCTATCAATGAGTTTGCTGTTGCTGAGTCCACCTCAGCAAATTGCTGCATTCGTGTAAAAAGCATGACTGGTGGATACACTGGTTTTTGGAGACAGTCTTTGGAGGGCTGCAGCTGGGACAGGACAACCAGGTGGACTGCTGGGGTTAGAGTGGGAGAACAAGCACGCTAAGGAGTGAGAAAGAAAAGTTTTCCATGAGGGAAAATGGCTGCATCGTGCTACCAACTGCCTGCTACAGGCTATGTTTACCATCTAGACCTTAGCCTAAATATATTTTATGCTGAGCTATTCAGAACAAGCACAAAAAGCACTTTTATCTGATGAATTTCATACACCTTCCCCTTGCCTTACAGCATTCTGAAGTAGAATATTGTTCATAACCAACCTAACTTTGCAAGGAGGGAACTTGCCCGTCTCCTAAACTGGTCTGACAGAAACCATCAATATCAGAAGCTGAGGGTTATGCACAAAACCCGCAGCAAACTGTTTACACCCATGGAAGGGTGCCAGGAAGGCTTTCCTAGTGCAGGAAGCACTGCACAACTGACAACAGCTGGGGATGCTAAACCGCCCTCCTGCACCACAATTTGAAAGATGTTTCTTCAGCCGTATGAGGAAAGCTGCTTTTCGACATTCCATGATGAAGTTAACTCCCACTTCAGAGCTATGCAACATAGAGAGCAAGAACGACTCAGCCCACCTTCCGGAGGAAAAGGAAAAACAGAATAGATGAGATCTGTGTGGGCCTTACTTCACTTAGCAACTCCAAAACTTTGACTCTTGTTCACATGCTAGATAAAGTCATCATGGGTAAATTAACTTTCAGAACACCATGGTATATGTTAGGCAGTGGCCGTTATTTTGAATATGCCAACCCCAGCTGACAGTTGCTGTGCCCTGCCATGTTGTGAGAAGCCCAGAAACGGGTTGTGCAAAGGTCAGACAGCCCACACATAGCCCCAGAGTAACCAGACAACCCCCCCCCCCCCCACCACCACCACAAATTCACACTTGCAAGCCAGGGCAACTGCCTTCCAGGGCTTACATCCTCAAAATGGTGGTCAGCATGCACTGTGGTAGCCTTACACATTAATCCATGTGGCTTATCATGATATGCAAACAAAATTAATGATTTAGCCTGCAGTCGTTTAGTCTTCCCCAACTGCCTGTTGTCCTTCACATGTGTTGGACTGTAACTCCTTATTCCCAGCAATCACAGAGTGGTTGCCCGACACGTTGGAGAGGATCATGTCAGAACATTCTGACCATGTCAGAACATTGGTACAAAGCATCTCTTTGCAGTCTGCATTTATTTCCTTAGGGTTCCCTGAAACTCTTTTATTCTTATTCACAAAACTTGTGCCTTAGGAATCTTTCAAGAATTGGTTCTCAACTACTCAAATTCAGAATTGGAGGGGCTGATACATTGAAAGGGAGAGGTATTGTATAAGCAGACAAGCCCACCTAATGAGATAGATAAATCAAGAATAATGATATACTTCATTGAATCAATTTAGGCAGTAGGCTAATCTTTTTATAAGGAATACAGATTTACTTTTGGGTTTGAGATTTCATACAATTCTTTGTACAGAAAGAGAACTAGTTCTAATCTGCCTTTCTTAGTGTTGTAAACTTAGTTTTATAAACTAAGAAAGTTTGCTTGCTTTTTCACCCAGAAGACCTTTCTTTGCTATCCCTTTTCAGAGAAAATTTACATCCTTCTTAAACTGGCTACCAATATTTCCAAGTTAAACCACAGACCAGAACATGTTAGCTAGTCAATGCTTTGACAATACACCAAAAGCTTTTATGTAAGAACGTTGCTGGCTGCTATTGTGTAATGTCACACATCCCCCATTTTCTCCTCACTACCCAACAGTATTTAATGACTGGATGTGCTTTGCTTTGTTGGGCTACAGGGCGGCAGTTGAAGGAGAAGGCTGCTGCAACAGTGGCAGTCTGTCTAGCCTGCTGCCCTCAGTAAGCCTCTGAGCAAGCTGATATTTGGCCTTTCATCTGACATCTTGAAAACATGGTCAGTTATTATCTACTAATACAGAGATGTTACATAATGTAACAGTGGAGTATTGATCATTCATGCCTACTTGGCACCCAGCCTACCTTGCTCCACCCTAGTTTCATGCTGGTGATACAGTCTCCATGGTTCTGAAGCAACAGCTTAGGTGGAGCAGCTCTGAGGTCCACTGCAGAAGCCCTGTGAAAATGGCTCACTCTCCCAAAGGTGTCAAGTGAGAAGTAAGCCATATATGACAGAAAAGAACCCTGAGCAGATTAGTTATTGTTGAGCAAGGCCTTTGTCAGGTAATTGCAAAGATGTGTCTCATCCACATGCTGCAGTATGTCAGAGGCTACGACCCAATTCTTACACTATGACAACATGGCCATGATTCCCCTGTGGACTCCTCCCACTCTGCTGTTCTTAACGGAAGAACATGGAGATGACATGGGAGGGACATGATCCTCTGGGAAGGGCCACACTAATATCACACTCCTAATCTGGCCTTTGATGCAAGTGCGCTTCTTGCTATACAGTTGCT